ATCTATCTATCTATCTATCTATCTATCTATCTATCTATCTATCTATCTATCTATCTATCTATATTTTAGGGTTCACCTTATTACTTAGCTTCTCTAGGATCATGAACGATAGGGTCAGTATTCTTTGTTAATAGCTAGTGTCTCCTTATGAGTGAGTACACATCATATTCATCTTTTTGGGTCTGGGATAACTTGCTCAAAATGGTGTTTTCTAGTTCTATCCACTTGCATGGAAATTTAAAAATGTCTTTTTTTTAACCACTGAGTAGTAATCTAATGTGTAAATATGCCACACTTTCTTTATCCATTCTTTATCCATTCTTTGGCTGAGGGGCATCAAGGTTGTTTCCAGGTTCCTGCTATTACAAATAATGCTAGTATGAACGTAACTGAACAAATGCCTTTGTAGTATGACTGAGCATCTCTTGGGTATATGCCCAAGAGTGGTATTGCTGGATCGTAAGGTAGGATGATTCCTAATTTCCTGAGAAATGACTATACTGATTTCCAGAGTGACTGTAGAAGTTTGCATTCCCACCAGCAATGTGTTCCCCTTACTCCACATCCTTTCCAGCATAAGCTATCATTGGGGTTTTTGATCTTAGTCATTCTGACAGGTATAAGATAGTATCTTAGAGTTGTTTTGATTTGCATTTCCCTGATGGCTAAGGATGTTGAGCATTTCCTTAAGTGTCCTTCAGCCATTTGAGGTTGTTCTGTTGCAAATTCCCTGTTTAGTTCTGTACCCCATTTTTAATAGGGTTATTTGGAAGTTTGGTGTCTAATTTCTTGATTTCATTATATATTTTGGAGATCAGTCCTTTGTCTTATGTGGGGTTGGTGAAGATCTTTTCCCACTCAGTAGGCTGCCTTTTGGTCTTATTGACTATATCCTTTTCTTTACAGAATCCTCTTAGTTTCAGGAGGTCCCTTTTATTTATTGTTGCTCAGCATCTGTGCTACTAGTGTTATATTTAGGAAGTGGTCTCCTGTGCCTATGCGTTAAAGGCTACTTTCCACTTTCTCTTCTATCAGGTTCAGTGTGATCAGATTTATATATAGGGCTTTAATCCATTTGGACTTGAGTTTTGTGTGTGGAGATACAGATCTATTTTCATTCTTCTTCATGTTGACATCCAGTTATGCCAGTACCATTTAATGAAGATGCCTTTCTTTCTTTCCATTGTATGACTTTATCTTTTTGTCAAAAATCAGATGTTCATATGTGTGTGGATTAACACCTGGGTCTTCAATTCGATTCCATTGGTTAACCTCTCTGTTTTTATACCAATACTAAGCTGTTTTCATTACTGAAGTTCTGCAACAGAGCTTGATGTCAGAGATGGTGATGCCTCTAGAAGTTTCTTTATTATACAGGATTGAGTTTTTTGTTTTTCCATATGAAGTATATGAGTATTGTTCTTTCAAAGTTTATGAAGAATTGTGTTGGAATTTTGATGGGGATTGCACTGAATCTATAAATTGCTTTTGGTAGGATTGATATTTTTATTATGTTGATCCTACCTATCTAAGAGCATGGTGAGTATTACTCCAAGATATTTTATGTCATTTGTGACTATTGTGAAGGGTGATGTTTCTCTGATTTCTTTCCAAGCTTCTTTATCATTTGTATATAGGAGGGCTACTGATTTTTTTGAGTTGATCTTGTATCCTGCCACAACACTAAAGGTATTTATCAGCTGTAGGAGTTCCCTGGTAGAGTCACTACCATATCATCTTCAAATAGTGAAAGTTTCACTTCTTCCTTTCCAATTTGAATTCCCTTGATTTCATTTGGTTGTCTTATTGTGATAGCCAGAACTCCAAGAATTATGGTTGAATAGATATAAAGAATGCACAGCCTTATCTTGTTCCTGATTTTAGTGGAAAAACTTTGAGTTTCTCTTCATTAATTTGATGTTGGCTGTCAGCTTGTTGTATATTGCTTTTATTATGGTTAGATATGTTTCTTGTACCTTGATATCTCCAAGACCTTTATTATGAAGGGGTGTTGGATTTTGTTGAAAGTTTTTCAGCATCTATAAATATGATCATATGGCTTTTTTTCTTTCAGTTCACTTATATGGTGGGGTATATTGACAGATTTTTGTATGTTGTACCAGTCCTTTATCTCTGGGATGATGCCTACTTGATTATGGTGGATGACTTTTTTTTGATGTGTTCTTTTATTTGGTTTGCTAGTATTTTATTGAGTATTTTTGCATCTATGTTCATGAGTGAGATTGATCTGTTAATTCTCTTTCTTAGTTGAGTCATTGTTTCAGTATCAGGGTAACTGTAGCTTCATAATTGAGTTTGGCAATGTTCCTTCTGTTTCTATTATGTGGAACACTTTGAGGAGTATAGGTATTAGTTCTTTTTTGGAGTTCTGGTAGAGTTTTGCACTGAAACCATCTGGCCCTGTTTTCTTTTTTTTTTGAGGGGGAGGCTTTGATGACTATTTCTATTTCCCTGCAGGTTATAGGTATATTTAAATTGTTCACTTAGTCTTGATTTAATTTTGATATGTGGTACCTACCCAGAAAACTGTCCATTTCTTTTACATTCTCCAATTTTGTGGAGTACAGGTTTTTGTAATATGACCTAATGATTCTTTAAATTTCCTCAGTGTTTGTTGTTATATCTCTCTTTTTATTTCTGATTTTTTATTTGAATATTCTCTCTTTGCCTTTTGATTAGTTTGAATAAGAGTTTGTATATCTTGTTGATTTTCTCAAAAACCAGGTCTTTGTCTCATTGATTCTTTGTATTATTTTTTTCTATCTTATTGATTTCAGCCCTCATTTTGATTATTTCCTGTCTTCTACTCCTCCTAGGTGAGTCTGTTTTCTTTTGTTCTAGAGCTTTCAGGTGTGCTTTTAAGTCACTAGTGTGAACTTCCTCCTCTTTCTTTATGTAGGCACTTAGTGTTAGCATAGATTTCATAGTGTCCCATAGCATTGGGTAAGTTGTGATTTCATTTTTGTTGAATTTTAGGAAGTCTTTAATTTCTTTATTTCTTCCTTGACACAGGGGTTATTCAGTAGTTCACTGTTCAATTTTCATGATTTTGTAGGCTTTCTGTAACTGGTGTTGTTGTTAAATTTTAACTTTAAGCCGTGGTGAGCAGATAAGATACAGAAGGCTACTCCAATTCTCTTGTATATGTGGAGGTTTTCTTTGTTATCAAGTATGTGTTCAATTTTAGAGAAGGTTCCTTGAGGTGCTGAGAAGAAGGTATATTCTTCTGGGTTTGGGTGGAATATTCTATAGATGTCTGTTAAGTCCCTTTGAGTTATGACATCCGTTAGTTCTCTTATTTCTCTCTAAGTTTCTCTCTGGTTGACCTGTCCATTGGTGAGAATGGAGTGTTGAAGTCTCCTACTATTAGTGTGTGGGAGTTGATGTGCGATTTAAGCTTTAGTAATGTTTCTTTTACATATGTGGGTGCTCTTGTATTAGGAGCATAGATGTTCTGGATTGAGGCTTCATCTTAATGGATTGTTCCTGTTATGAGTATAAAGTGTCCTTCTCTATTTCCTCTGATTGATTTTCGTTTGAAACCTATTTTGTTAGATATTAGGATAGCTACACCTGCTACACTTTCTTAGGTCCATTTGGTTAGAAAACCTTTTCCCAACCCTTTACTCTGAGGTAATGTCTGTCTTACAGGTTGAAGTGTGTTTCTTGTTTACAGCAGAAGGCTGCATCATGTTTTTGTATCCATTCTCTTAGCCTGTGTCTTTTTATAGATGAATTGAGTCCACTGATATTAAGAGATAATAATGACCAGTGGTTGTTAATTCCTGTTATTTTTCAGTGGTGGTTGTTGTGTGTTTCCCTTCTTCAGGTTTTGCTGGTGGGAGATTATCTGTTGTCTATGTTTTTGTGGGTGCAGTTAGTTTCTTTGGGTTGGGGTTTTCCTTCTAGTACTTTCTGTAGGGCTGGCTTGTGGATATGTATTGTTTAAATCTGATTTTGTCATGGAATATCTTGTTTTCTTCATTGATGGTGAGTGAAAGCTTTGCTGAGTATAGTAGTCTGGTCTTGTATCTGTGGTCTCTTAGTGTTTGTAGCACATTTGCCCTAGATCTTCTGGTTTTCATGGTTTCCATTGAGAAGTTGGGTGTAATTTTGATAGGTCAACCTTTATATGTTACTTGATCTTTTTCCTTTGCAACGCTTAATATTCTTTCTTTATCCCGTGTGTTTTGTGTTTTGGTTATTATATGGTGAGGGGACTTTTTTTGAACCAGTCAATTTGGTGTTCTGTAAGTTTCTTGTACTTTCATCGGAATATTCTTCTTTAGGTTGGGAAAATTTTGTTCTGTGATTTTGTTGAATACATTTTCTGTGCCTTTGAGCTGGAGTCCTTCTCCTTCTTCTATCCCTATTATTTTTAGGTTTGGCCTTTTCATAGTGTCCAGATTTCCTGGATATTTCGTATTAAGAATTTGTTTGATTTAATGTATTCTTTGACCAATGAATTGATTTTCTCTATGATATCTTCAACACCTGAGATTCTCTCTTTCATCTCTCATATTCTGTTGGTTATACTTGCTTCTGTAGTTTTTGTTCACTTACCTAGATCTTCCATATTCAGAATTCCTTTGGTTTGCATTTTCTTTATTGCCTCTATCTCAGTCTTCATGTCTTGAATTGTTTGCTTTACCATTTTGATTGTTTTTTCTTGCTTTTTGGGTTTATTTGAGGAATTTATTAATTTCTTCCAATTTTTTGTTCATCTTTTCCTTCATTTCTTTAGGGGAGGTTTTCATTTCCTCTTTAAAGGTGTCCATCATCTTTATAAAGTTTCACTTAAAATAATTTTCTTTTGCTTCTTCTGGGTTAGTATTATCAAGACCTCCTGTTGTTTGATGACCAGGTTCTGGTGTTACCATGTTGCTTTTTAGTTTGTTGGATTAATTCTTGCATTGGTGCCTACCCATCTCTTCTTTCAGTTTATGCTGGCAGTGTCTGTGCGTCTTGCAGTGGCTGTCTGAGTCTTTGGGAATTGTTCTTGGTCTGCTCTGCACTGTTAATAAGTGTGTTTTAAGGAGCTTCTGAGGTCTCTCTTAGTCTACTCTCTTGGTCTGCTCTCCTGGTTCACTTTCTTGATCCACTCTGTGTAGTCACAGCTTGTGCTTTAGAGTTCCTTTCTTGGTCCTCTCTGCAGAAAACTCTATTGCTGGCTGACAGGAGAGGCTGAGGTAGGTGGGGGAGAGGCCTGGGGTTCTGCTCCACTATGGAGGGCCTAGAGAGTGGAGTGTCCTGCTGGGTGACTGGTGACTTCTCTTTGTCCTCTCTGTATTGTAATAAGCTGTGTGTTCAGAGTTCCACTGAGGTTGCTGGAGAATAGGAAAGTTTGAGGGCAGGATGGAACTTTTAGTTTGCAGAGTCTGGTGTATGGGGGTGGGAATTGGAGCAGTGTACCTTCAGGGAACTCTCCTGCTGGCTGGCTAGAGAACCTGAGGCAGTTGCCCCACTACAGAGGGTCTAGAGTGTGAGGTGTCCTGCTGGGTGGCTGGTCACTCACTTCTTGGTCCTCTCTGCATTGTAGCCAGCTGTGTTTCAGAGTTCCCCCGAGGTTGCAGGAGGATAGGCAAGTTTGGGGGCAGGATGGGACTTGTAGTTTGTGGGATCTGGTGGATAGGGGTGGATCAATTACTGTGCTCTTAAGGTGGTTATTAAACAAGAACCCTAAGTGCAAATGTTGGAGAGGCTGTTGACTATGATGTGATGATACTTTACTGAAGCAAGCATTCTCATTTTTCCCTCCTAGGAAACCTTTTGTTGATTATATTTGTGAGTTATTTCGGAACAAAACTGCACAGGCCCATCATGATTGGTATTGGATGCGTAGTTATGGGCCTAGGGTGTTTCTTAATATCACTACCTCATTTTCTGATGGACCGGTGAGTATCCCAGTCCTTGATGATATTTTATATTCAACTTTTACTTACAGGAAATGAGGCTCAGAGTTTTCTCTCTGGGAGGAACAATGCAATCCCAAAATACAGAATGCTAATATGGAAATTAAAAAATATGGTCTGCACTTTGCTGGTATGATTTGTGGATCTTGTAACCTTGGTTCCATTTAAGGTCCCATCCTGTCCATTGTAAAGTGGGAATTTGAGACACCTCTTTTGTGAAGTTGAGAAACAGCTTTCATAATATTGAGACACATGAATAGATTCTCTGAACCTGCAAAAGCTTGTGTTAAGTTCTTCATCAGGACTATTTAGACATTCCAGTTACAAAGTGACTACAGTGTGATGTAATCATGGGGCATTAGGGGATAGATCAGTGTCAAGGGTGTTTTAATTTTCCTGTTTACCAATGACACTTAAAACAGAAAATTGTAAAAGTAAAGTTATGTTGAGTTATCTCTTACTCCTTTCCTGCTTGCTGTGGCAGGGGGAATGTTTTCTGTTCTTTCTTTTGTTTGCCTGTATATCTCATTAGATTTTAATACCTTAATACTAAGTGATGTAAAACTAATATTTTCTACCATAGAATTATGTTATTCTTTGTTATAGAATTCAATTTTTACCTAAATTTATTACTTGGCTCATTTTCCCCATTTGGTTGACTTTTTTTGTGTCTCTCATTATCTCATGGGCCTCTCAGTGTCTGGTAGGGTGCACATCCCTCACCATAGGTCAAGGACTTCAGTGTTCACCTGGCCACACCTCTTGCTATTGTCTGTTCCATTCCACCTGCCTCTGAACTACAAACCTCAAACCGAGCTCAGGGCCATTTCCCTGTAATTCTCCATCACTCTTTTCCTTATGAATTTGTTTGACTTTCTTCTTCCATCTTGTTCTTTCTCCTGCTTCTCCTCTATGCTTCTTAATTATTTCTTTATTCTGTCTTCCCTCTTGTTGTTAAGATCTTATATCAGTTTGATGTGTGTCAGTATTTTACTCACATGTGTATAGATGCACCATGTGTATGTCTGGTGTGCACAGATTACAGAAGTATATTGAATTCCTTGGAACTGGAGTTACAGATGGTTGTCAGTTACCATGCAGGGGCTGGAAATATGAACCCAGGTCCTCCTCAAGAGAAACAAGTTCCCTTAACCACTGAGCCATCTCTCCAGTCTTGCTTTTCTTTTTTTTGAGATAGGGTCTTGCTATGACACCCAGGCTTGTACAGTATTATTGTGTAGCTCAGGCTGGTCTCACTCTTGGTGATCCTCCTGCTTCAGCCTTCCAAGTGTTGATATTTCGCTCTTGATTACTCACAGAAGGATCATCCTGCCCTCTGTTTTCCTCTTTACTCTCCCTCACTTCTTTCTGTACACAAAAAAATTCCCTACAGCCTTTGGAGACATTGCCTCAAAGTTAGTTTGCTTTGGAATTGAAATCGATATTCTAACTACTGTGACTGGTTTCTCTTTTATCTCCACAGTCTGACATTAATGACGATTGGTTTAAGCCCTTTGCCTCCTCAGGTGCCTTCAGTCAGGGCATTTTGTAAAGATTTTTGTTCTCTTTTCTTCTTGATATCTTCCTCCTGCTTCTCCTCTGCAGCTTCTATTTGAGCACAGGCATCCTAGATTTCATTCACATCTTGCTATTTTTCTACTTACACATCTTTTAATCTCTTGGGGGGACTTCCCAGGAGGTTTAGCTTGTCATCCAGGCTCTTCTGTGGGCTTGTCACTTGTCTTATCGTATCTCTAAGGTTTTATTGTCGAGGACACTTTCTTACCTTGAATATCTCCCTTGAGGGAACATCTTGTTATTTTCTCAAGAACTCAGCGTCTTTTCCCTTGTGACTTTCTTCATTCTTGTCCTTTGACTCTGGCTCCTTCACATGGAGCTTTTGTTTGTCTTTTACTTACTGTAATAGTACTGTAATAGAGTGTCCCCCACAAATGGTTCTTGGTTATTTTTCCATATTTAAGAAAGGATAACAACAGAAAGCTAAGTAGTTATTCTGTATACAAGTATAGACTTAGTTAATGGGAGACTTTGGTGTTTTTCCGTAGTATGAATCAACAGGTGATTTATCTGGGCTGGGTGGTGATGAGAAGGACTGGGTGGTATTTGATCTGGACTCACTGATTTTGAGCTGTCTCAGAAATGTGTGTAACTTGTAATCCCAGGCAGGAATTCTCTGCACTTACTCAAGAGGTAGAAAGTTGGCTACTGGCCAGAAAGGAATGGGAGCATCATCTTTAGTGTGCAGAGTTTTAAAACAGTACCATCCTCCTCTTTGTCCTCTGTGTCCTCAGTTTTCCAGTTCGGATCTTCCCCTACCTATAAGCATTTCCACTTGGAGAGATTGAGGATTAGTCTGAAGACCTAGATATTCCTTGTTTCTTTGTGTGCCCACTGGGTCCTGAGTGAGGAGTCTCTTCGTGCATCTTTTAAAGGAGACTGGAACATGCCCTGTTGCTTCCTGAAACATGATGGTTACATTTCCTTTGCCTTCTGCTTCAGTAACCATTCTTACATCCACATCCAAACCTCAAGATTTTACTGAGTTTAAGTAGCACACTTTTAGTTTCTCATTTATGGTTTTTTAATTTTTAATTATTTTGTGTTTTATAAGTTTTGGTGGGGAAGTGTGTGTGCTTTTATGTGATGTCAGGAAACAACTCTCAGGAGTAGGGTTTCTCTGCCTACCCTGTGGGGTGCAATCTAGGTTGTCAGGCTTATAAAATAAGTATGTGTACCCTTGGGTACATCTGGTATCTCACAAGCCTTTTATTTTTATTTTTTGAAACAGATTCTCCTGTAGCTAAGTGTGGCTTCAAACTCACTCTGTTGTTAAGGATAATGATGAACTTCTGATCCTCTTGGCTCTGTTTCGTGAGTGCTAAGATTATAGGCACAGTCCACTGTTTCTGTTTTTATTTTGTGCTCAGGATCAAACCCAGGATTGATGCATTTCAGGCACCGATGTAACAATTGAGCAACATCCCCATATCTAGATTTCTTTATCCTTGAGGAAATGAGATTTCCTTTTTTATTTTGAAACCATTTTTTTTTGTCATTTTATTGTCGGTTGAGGAATAAATGAACCTTGAGTGAACAACTGACCTTTAAGTAGATAATGAACTAAATGAAGGATATTTTATCTTCTCAGTTGTTTTTTAAGGGAACCAAAATTTTGTGGATGGAATTTAAAAATTATTTTTTTTACTTTTTATTCTGTTCAAATCAATGTCAAGAAATATTCAACAATTATTATGTTTTCCCACCTTCTCCCAAAGGTGAGAGTACTTTTTGAAATTGACCTGTCCTCATGGGATTGTGACTAGAAAGATGTATACCTTTGTCTACACTTCACTGGCCACCTCTGTGGGTACATTTAGGCAGTTGTTCTAAGGGAAAGTGATCCTGATTTCTGTGCTATATTACACAGCATAGAAGTTAGCATTTTGGCATGCATAGTTTCCTATTCATGCAGAATTCAGCAGCCCATGGTTTCCTCTGGTTGTCTCTTTTTTGTGTTTTTTAAAAACACTTACAAATAAGTCAAGCATACCTACATTGGAGAGCATTAGATGGACATATTCTCCTCTACTGATGCACTCTGCCATTTCTTCCTAGGACAAGCTGATCCACGGTGATTTGAGCAAGTTAAATAACCGTAGCTTATTAACACTTTTGGTCCATGACACTGTGCTGTCAGGAGATGGATTCTGTCATGTCTTATTATGACATGAAAAATTTTTCTTCTGTTGGAGATAGTGAACACATTGGAAAATGATTGTTTTCTCAGTAAAGGAGGGTGGGAACCACAGCTCAGAGAACACAGAGCAACTGTCTTGATTTGTTGTGTTGTTTTGTGTCTCTCTAAAGCTTTTATCTTCTCAACTTTACTTTAGTGAGTCTCTTTCTTTCTCTTGCTTTTGTTCTTTATCTCTCCCTAATTATTTCTAGGAAATAGTCATTTAGAAATCACAGAGAGGGCTGAAGAGATGGCTAAGAGCACTGGCTGCTCTTCCAGAAGTCAATCCTCCGGAATCACTGGGTGGCTCACAACCATCTATGATAGGCTCTGATGCCCTCTTCTGGCAAGCAGGTATACATGCAGAGCACCCACACAGTAAAATATAAATAAGTTGATATTGGTTACTTATTTTCTTCATTCAGATGGTTGCTTGTAGTAGGAGTCTGCTTGTTTGTTTCTGACTGCCAAGACCAGAAATAATGACTCAGAAACTGTATTAGTTAAATCACTGCTTGGCCTATTAGCTCCAGCCTCTTATTGGTTACCTCTTACATTTTAATTTAACCCATTTCTATTAGTCTGTGTATCGCCATGTGGCTCTGGCTTACAGGCAAGATTCTGTCTGGCATCTGTCTCTGGTGTCTCCTAACTCCGTCTTCTTTCTCCCAGCTATTAGTGTAGTTTTCCCCACATAGCTCTGTTCTGCCCTGCTATAGGCACAAAGCATTTTTTTAAATTAATCAATGGTAATCACAGCATACAGAAGGGAATCCCACATTAGTTGTTTTAAATCTTTCTTTCTTTCTTTTTTCTTTCTTTCTTTCTTTCTTTCTTTCTTTCTTTCTTTCTTTCTTTTTTCTTTTCTTTTTTCCTTTTTATTGAGAAAAGAAACCAGGCCGGCTTCTAACTAACTGAATAGATGAGCCTTGAGCTTCTGAGTCTCCTCGCAAGTGCAAGGATAACAGGCATAGCTCACCATAGCCAGTTTACTCAGTTATAGAGTTTAAACCTAGAGCTACCCGTCCACCCTAGTGATACAGATCTCTTCCTTCCTTCCTTCCTTCCTTCCTTCCTTCCTTCCTTCCTTCCTTCCTTCCTTCCTTCCTT